GGTGTGGGGGGGGGGGGGGGGGGACCGCACACTTCAACAAACATACAAGTGATTGCCGGCTGTTTAAAATGCATAGTTTCCCGCTCGTGGGCACCGCTCTGGCAGACACCGTCCCACCGTTTAATTACAATGGCCAGATGGGAAGTGGTTAATCAAGAGGCTTCCTTTAACCAGTTAACATCCGCGGTGTTAAACCCCCTTCCCATCCAGGCCATTTTTCAATATTCAGCGCTGCGGTACTTTCAATGACATTTATTCCGTCATGCAACGCTGTACTGAAATGAATTTTATACCATTTTTTGGAGACAGATAGAGCTTTCTTTTATTTTTTACTATATTAAGGAAAAATTACCGAAATTTTACAATTAAAACATGATAAAACATTTATTATTACCCAATTTTTTGGTAAAATATAAAAGACGGGGTCACGTCGGGTAAAAAGACACCAAACATGTCAAGCCTTAAAATTGCGCGAGCACGCAAAACCTCAAAAAAAGATAATACCCTAAACTGTCCACAGGCGACGCAATTGTAGTTTTTGCGCGCTGGTGCACCGGACGCATATTAACGTTTATATGTGCGTAAACGTGGGGGTGGGGGAGTTAAACATTTTGGTTTTTTTGTAACTTTTTTTTATATGTGACTTATTTTTTTTTACTTTTTTATATGACTTTTATTTTTTTTATTTATATATTTTTTTGCACTTATTGTTATTGCTATTATATAGGGGGATAACAATCCCCCTATATAATAGCAAATCACACTGACAGGTCCTCTTTATGGAGACATTAGGGGTCTTTAGGACCCCTAATGTCACCTGTGGACCCCAAAAGAAGCTGATGAAGCAGAGAGCAGAGAAACGAGCACATATAGACGATCGGCAGGCTATAGAGCCGCCGACCGCCTGTATGTGAAACACCCGGTAATGGGTGTTTGCATTGCACAAGTCTTTTCTACCCGTGCACGCCCGCTACTGCATTGGTGCGGCAACCCACCAATGCAGCAGTGCCGTCCGTCCTTTTTTTTACAACGAACGGACGGCAACTGGTTAACTAAATACCTTTACTACTACACCTATTTAGAGGGTTATTCACAAAGCTGCCAAAAGCAGCCGTGTGAATAACCGACCCGAAGTGAAGTAAGCCGAACACTGTTCGGCTGTTCACTTCAGTCTTGTACCGCTGATTTCAGCCGTACACCGACTGCAATCAGCCGTACATCGGCTTGCTGCGGGTGGCTTCGGGTCGGCCGAACATGCTCAGCATGTTTGGCCGACCCAAAGTGCCGATCAGAATAGAAAAACAGTTTAAAAAAGTAGATTTTTTTTTTAAATGATTGGGTGGAGCTAGCAGTGACACCTAGCTCCGCCCAACTGTTTTCTATTGGACGGGACCAGCAGTCATTGCAATGAGAGCTTGTCGGAGCCGGCGTTGGTATCAAAGCCGGCTCTGCTGAGTTCTTATGGTACTGACAGATGAACGGTCAGTACACACTGAGACCTCAGCGGAGCCGCCGTGATATTACGGCGGCTCCGCCGAGGTCTTAGTGTAATGACAGATCAGCATACCTGGTAACCAGGGGACGCTGATCTTTCTCTGCAAGTGGCCGGAGCCAGCCGTGAGATGGCGGCTGGCTCCGCCCAGCTGTCAGTAGCATGCTGTCGGCCGGCAGTTCGGCCAGCTTCGACTTTCACCGCGGCTGAGTCGAGCCGAAACATATGCCTCGACTGAGCCGCTTGGCCAACTTCGGGAGCTGTACGGGCTATAGTGAATAGCCCGTACAGCAGCCCTTCAGTTCTACTGAACCTAAGGGCTCCCGTAACCGAAGCTAGCCGAAGGATCAGCCAAAGCTACGGCTGGATCCTTCGGCAGCTTTGTGAGTAACCCTCTTAGTTTTTTACTGAACCATAAAATAGTCTCAAGCCTCTAACGTGTGTGGATATAATTTATCTGTGTAGTTTAATGTGGTACTCATGTACACCTGTGCGTCCTAATTGTAATTATGTATTTTTATGTGTTTGCAGGTTTGCTATGTTAATGGGGTTTTTTAGATGATTCGATTACAATTTTCTTTTCTTCTTCTACAGTTTTTACATTAAATTCGGACTTGTGTCTGATGAGATCCCAAGTTTGACACTGTAAGGTTATTGGTTTGCGTTATGTAGCTACTAGGGGTGAGCACAGAGCGTTTCCACAGATGAAAAAGAAAGCAATATGAGCTCTCTTTACCCCTTAGTTGTGATTACCAACAAGGAGAGAAACATCAATGACACATGTAATATATCTTTTCTTTTGCAGTCAAAAGGTGACTGCTCATTATACCTTATGCTACATGCACACATGTGCAAAAAGATTGAAAGTGTTTGTTTCCAGTAATCATCAAGATATTTGAACTCTAACATGCATTCATGTATAATTAAAGTCTAATATGCATTGGTTGATCAGCATTTGTTACCCACAACATATTATAAACCACCATAATCACACATGTTATGCTTTTTTTTTTAATTAGTATTTCCTTTTTCATATAGGTATTACAACTGTGCTCACAATGACCACTCTGAGTACCATAGCTCGGAAATCCCTTCCAAAAGTCTCCTATGTGACAGCAATGGACCTTTTTGTCTCAGTGTGCTTCCTCTTTGTATTTTCTGCCTTGGTGGAATATGGCACCCTCCATTATTTTGTTAGTAACAGGAAGCCAAGCAAGGACAAAGAGAAAAAGAAAAAAAATCCAGTAAGTATTTTAGGAGTATTTGTATCATTATTGTTATACTTATATTATAGAACCCTAAATAGATTATTTAATTAAAAAAATCATTTTGGTGCATTGAGCATGGAAATATGATTGTGCCTTTATCAGTTCTCAGCAGGCAGAACATTTGAAAAAAATCCTATAAGTTTAAAATCACCACTTTGACCTTATTAAAAGTTGTATAGTTTGGTATTGCTTATACTACCAACCAAGATCATACCATTGCAGTCTCTTTAAATGGGTTGTTAACTACAGTTTATTACATAGATTGTTTTCTGAGTTACTCTATTAACTATGCTTATGTTACAATTGATTTATAAGCCATCTGTTTTCATTTTCAATTACATTCATGAGATTTTTATTTATTTCCAAACATGGAATGCTAAGGAGACCATTTATATCTAGTGTTCAAACTTTAGTGGAGTTGTTGGTAGTATATACAATTTTATTTTATTATATTCTGTATTTATGTGATGGTTAAACTGTTTTGACCAAAGTTTTATTTTTATTATGGAAAATCTATATTATATGCATTTTTATTTCATATATTTTAGATTTTAAGTTACATTTTAATTTGTAATTTTCAAATATATATTTATTTAATAGCTAAAATAAATAAAATATTTTACTTTCACTATTACTTAAATGTTAATTGCAACACATTGCTCTAAAAGTTTGAGATTTCTAGTCTTCTTAAAATTTAAAATGAACCTGTTTTAATGTAAATAATTGTGAACCAACTGCTCACCCATTCCTAAGATGCTAGTCCCTCAACTGTCATTCTGAGCCATTGGGGGTGATTTACTAACCTAAACACATGCACGCACCAGGTGCGTGTGATTTTCACACAGCAAAACGTATTTATCAACCAAAAAGTCTCTAAAAGCATATTTCCACTAATGCCATATATGGAAAAATCATGCACATGATGCATATATAATGCTGCTTCACAGTTTAGACAAAAATGGTTAGCTCATGCATTTACATTCCTGTAATTCATCAACGCAAGCAACACAACATAGAGCTAATTTACACAACATCACCTTGCAATTCATGCAAGGCTTTGCACAACACACCTGCTGGGTGTGTACACACTACAAAGGTGTTTAGATTCCACCCATAGATCATGCTGGGAGGGAACACACTACAGAGGTGTATACATGTTCGTGGTGTGTTTATAAGGTTAGTAAATCAACCCCATTGGCTTCATGACTTAGTAAACCACTGAAAATGGTATGCAACTTTTAAAAGTTATTATCCACAAGGATTAGGTGAAAATAATATTATAACCAAAAATAAATCGTATTGTAGAAAAAATTTAAAAAGTAAAATAAATAACATGTAAATTGTTTGTCTTAAAAAATTATGTAATAGTAAATCAACAAGATATTCATAAGTCTTAGGGCTTGTTTACACCAAATGCAGACCAGATCTGCATGAGTTTCTGCACACGCATTGCAGTGGGTTTTGCCACGTTTTTGATGCATTCCGGGCCATTTTTGGTCAAGTTTAAAATGGGCTTTCAGTGCGTTCCAGGGTGTTTGCATGCGTTTTTTATGTGTTCACATGCGTTCCAGAGCAGGTAAAATAGGGCTTGCTGCAGTTTTTTTTACATGCTCTGGAACTGAACACTGTGGTGTGAACTAGAGCCCAAAATACCATTGGAATACATTGGAATACAGTTTTGATCCAGTCATTAACTGTTCTGCTCTGCTCCTGGAACGCGCTTGGTGTGAACAAGGCCTCAGTCAGATAGTAAAGTCAGATAGTAAAAACTAGTGCTTAAAGACTTCATAGCCATGAAATTATGGTTATTTGTTACAAATGACCTAATAGAAAAATGTTTTTATGCCTTGGATTTGTTTAAGTGACAGTGGCTAAAAGACTTTAAAACTGTTATGTCACAAGGCAGTAGTTGCAATTGGACATACCATATAATTTATAAATACTTATTCTAGTAATACAAATGAATCTTTAAGATCACCATTTTTGATTCTAGAATGTGTTCTATGCCTGTTTGTGCCCCCAGAACTGACATCTATATCGGCTTTGATGTAGTGTCTCTTGAATGAGTGTTTTTTTGTTCCACAAATGTATGACAGTTAGAGGCATGGAACCACATTTAATAGCACTGAACCTTCCTTAGTGTTATATTATGGGATTAGGTAAGATATAGATGCCGCTTAGTAAACTTCTACTTTAAGTCGCAACAGCTGTTAACAAACCTGAGAGCATTATAAAGCCAAATTAAATCTTGGGACTCTTAAAAACCTAACATGATAATATTTTGATACATTTTCCAAAGTTTCATATTTTTTTCATATTATTTGTATTTTAGTTACATTGTTTTAGTAAAGTAATGTGTTTTTAATAATGCTTCAAAGGTTTTTTTATTTTCATTTTTCTTTCATTATTTTACTCCTAAATCCTGATTTTCCTTTCTTATCTGTACAACAAAAGCTTCTCTGGATGTTTTCATTCAAGGTATAATGCTTCTGGAATGGAAATTCACTGCATGTGTCTGCTGAATTAAACTATAAAAGCCTAAATTATGATTGGCTTTAATTTCCTTTTTTTAAAGCAAATACAGTATGGTGAGAATGTATTTATAAAACAAAAATAATAATGAGGTTGAAAAGTTGATTCAGCAGCATTTACACAATTTTCACAGTTGAGAAACAATGTTATTTAATGGTACTTTCATCTTATTGGCTAAAGGACACAAACAATATCACCCCATTTCACTGCTCCACATCAGTATGCCTTTTAAAGAATGATGCAAAACTGTTAGTCTTGGGTCTGTCATTTGCTGAATTTTGCCACAAGCTTAATATTGGTTTTAGAACTATTCATATTTGTGGCATTATTGCAGATGATAGCTGGTTATCACTAGAGCTGCAGAACACCTTGTGCATTACCTTCATCTTCTCTAATGTCTTCATAACCCATATGGGCGAATTCTGAGAACCAGAGAAGAGCAATAACATTTTAAGCTTTTTTTTAAGTAATCAACTAAATTATTGTTTTTGGAAAAACTAAATATATTATTCTATTATACTCTGGCTGTAATAGTCTGTGAATTTAATGCCTGACTTTTTTTGTTTTGTCAGTGTTTTTAAATGACAAATAATGTCATTAAATAAAATGCATTCGCCCATATTTTGCTAGTATCACTGTGTAGATTTGGAGAAATAGCATTTTTTATTTTGAAAGTGTATGCAATTAAATAAGTTGTGTTTTTCTTTTTAATTTATGCCTGCTTTGCAATTCAAACTGAATGAGAAAATAATTTGATTTTTTTTTAAATTATGTATATACTGTATATATACACACTGTTGGCACATTTCACTTATTTATTTATTACAGGTTGTGTCAATTATACTGTTTCTTTTAATGAGAAATATTTTTGCTCTTACCAGTTATGTAGCAAAAAACAAAGTTTTCACCAGTCTTTCTTGTTGGACATTGTCCACCATGGTTAGGACCATGATTGGGCACAGAGAGCAGGTAAAAAAGCTGCAGTTGCTTCCATAGGCATCTCACACATTTAGGCTGATTGTGTGAATATTAACTTTAATTATCCAGTCATATGAAGAGCATTTGAACATTATTGAGTGTTCAAAGTGAACAGGTGGTTAGAATGAATATACACACACTTTTTTGAGTAAAGATTCTCAACTCTTTTAGTCAGCCATACTCATTCACTCAGCTTGGTGAGTTCACAGCCAGGGAAGGTAAAACAGGAGACATCATGGGCCCTGCCTCAGTTGTGACTGCTTCAGCCCCTGTTCCTGTGACCCTGTATTGTTACATTTGATTATCAATTATTATTAATATTAATTGATTATTAATTCTCACAAGTCAAAATTATGCTTGTTTCATTGGGCATTCCCTTGCATGGGAAAAAATGGTTAATATGGTCTATGACTACTAGAAACTCTCTTGGATATAGTTAAGCAAAAGACAATGGGGGGGATTGATAAAAACTGGAGCAGATGTGCATGACAACCAATCCGCTTCTCTCTTCAGTTTGTTCAGTTAAGATTTGAAAATGAAAGAGAGAAGCTGATTGGTTGCCATGCACATCTGCTCCAGTTTTTGTCTGCTCCAGTTTTGATAAATTTCCCTCAACGTATCCTGACTAATTTGCAGCACAAGAACTAATTAGATAGTTTAAATGGGAATATTTTGGGTGCAATTGAAGTATATTAAAAAATGTAAATAAAAAATTAATTATATGTAAACCTTAAGAATTAGCGTCTCCTATTTGCTCCTGTTAATACTACCAGAAATACAGCGCACTTAAAGGTTCTTGTATAATCTGCAGTGTTATAAGTCATGCCCTGTTGAACTCTGTAAACTAAAGAACACCTCTCAACTATGTAATGGAGATGAGAAGAGGGGCAGTGTTTGGCCATCCTGTCCAAGTGTCAAAACTGCCCCTCCATAGATACAGTGCAATGAGTGAGTGTTGTCACCCTAGGACAGGGAGTGTGTTACTGGCAGGATCATCAAGTGAAAAAAAGAAAAAAAACTGTAAAAGAAAACTAATGCAGCCACCACATCAAAGGACTGGTAAGCTGCAATATATTACATTTGTATTCTTGGGATTAGATGCGCTTTATCATTATTAAAATGTGAATTGTTTAAGAAATCAAATATAATAGAAATAATATTAATTGTTATACACACACACGTAATAAAATACTGGTAAATTCTATTTGACTTTGCTCAGTCCATTTGAACATTACCTCACTGTAAGGGCCAGTTCATACCATAAACAGTGCGTTCCATAGCGCTTAGCCTCTGAAAGAACTGTATCGCATTCCGGTCGGCATCCTGCGTTATGGAGTATACACACATCTCTGTACAAATATTAAAATAAGAAAGCAAAATAAAAATGTAAAACATGTATTTAAATCCAAAAATGCATGCTTATTTAGTCTTGAAGAAGGAGTAGATGTATGCTCCAATATGGGTTGTTACAGTCATGGGGGTATGTTAATTTGCATGCACATAGAACCAGGCCAGGGTGCATGTGCACTCCATGGGTTAATTTACTAATTCAATAAGCTAGGTAAAGTTGCATTTACTTTAATTATTCAATCGAATGCAAAGTAAATTTCTATTTTTTTTCATTCTTCTTTACAATTTTTTGAAAATGGAAAATGATGAATGTACTACTTTAACCAATTGAAGACCGGGGTGCTTACACCCCCTTCCTGTCCAGGCCATTTTCAGTATTCAACGCTGCGGTACTTTGACTGACATTTATTAAGTCATGCAACGCTGTACTGAAATTAATTTTAAATCGCTTTTTGGGGACACATAGAGCTTTCTTTTGGTTGTATTTAATCACCACTGCGGTTTTTTTTACTTTTTACTATATAACAAAAATTACTGAAAATGTAAAAAAAAACAGTTTTCCCTTTTAGTATGTTATAAAAGATGGGGTCATGTCGGTTAAATAGACACCAAACATGTCAAGCCTTAAAATTGCACACACCCACGAAATCGAAATACACTATCACACCAACAATTTACCATAGGCAATGCATTAAAAGCTTTTACCGCTTTTCAATTTAGTGTTAACAGTGATTGATGGCCCTAAAATTATTGCTCACACTCTGATATTTGCGATAATATGTAACATGGGCACAATCCTGGTTTCTGCACGTAGGCGCACCTGACGCATGTTTAGGCGTGTATGTGGGTGGGGGGACTTTAAACATTTATGTGGGGGGGGGGGTTTGTGTGACTAATGTTTTTTTACTTTTTTTTTACACTTAAATTTATTGTTATCACATAGGGTGCTAAGAATCCCCCTGTGTGATATCAAATTACAGTGACAGGTCCTCTTTATGCAAAACAGATGCTAATGCATTGCACGTTTTTTGTTTAGGTTGTTCAGTGAAGAAAACAAATAAACAGTGTTTCTCATATGGAGAAACATAAAATTTAATAATTGATGATGTAAAAATATACAATTTAGAAATAAATAACAATATTAAATCAACAAAAATTTTCCAATTTAAAATGAGAAATGAGACTAGTGCAGGAAAAGCCACTATTTCAGAATGTTCAGGCTATGCAGGTAATCACACAGGCTGTGATTACCTGTGGATGACCACACCTGGACGACTGCCCGCGGCTATCATTAGATTATACAGTGATTCCCGACAGCAGGAAATCACATGAGTCACACAGGAATTTGTGAATGGGACCTCACAGCCTTTTAAAGTGTAATATAAACACAGAGCAGGTCCCCCTTTATGCGGAAGCAGTATGCTGTGCTTTTGAGAGATAACAACAACAAATTTGAGGATTAATTTGCTGCACAGTGCCTACAGAGGTTAGTGTCAGGTTGTTTTAAAGTTCATTTTCTTTTACTCTACAGCAGTGGACTCTATATTGCTGCTCACAGTTCAAATGTGACCTCTTGCTTGCCTTTCAGGCACTATTCCTTGCATTGACACAGTAGAGCATTTTTTCTTCACCGACACCAATAATGGGGCAAAATTCCACTGACAGCACCAATGGGCATAAATCCTCCCAGACACTGTTGATGGGGCACTATTCCACGAACCAACACCAATGACAGGGCATTATTCCCCGCACTGATTCCAATGATGGGGCAATATTTCTTCCATTGACACCAACAATAGAGTATAATTTGCATTCACATGTTTTCCTCCTACTGACAACCATACCCGAGGCATTGCTTATTTCCATTGATGTCTGGGCATTTTCTACAGCATGGCCCCCTAAAGTCTAGGGGACAGGGAACTTATGTTTATTAAGTTATGTTTGCTAAGAAATTTCTGTTAATTTAATATTGACCAATCTTGATGGATGTTTAGAATGTATTAAATACTTTCAAGCTGGTTTGGTGCTTAAATAAAGGTTTGCTGGTCGAGCATTAATAGAAATCTTTGGTATATAATAACTTTAAAGTCAACACAGATTTAGTGGTCTTGAGGTCAGTTACTAAATAATTTTGCAATATTACATTCATACAATATTAAACTCCTCAACTACAATTAAGATTTTGAATCAAACTATTTTTCAGGAAGTTTGCAAAACAACACTTGTAATGTTGACCACAAAAGGGGCATAAAAGGAATTATACGCATGGCTCTGTCCACTATCCTAAAAGGAGGAATAAACCACTTATTTTTTTGATCTGTATAGAACTGAGACCCCCAAATACCTTTTGTTTTCAGAAGTCTTTACTGTGTTTACAGGAAATAGTATTAGAGAGTGGCACAGCTGAATAAGAAAATAGTGTTTATCACATTTGTGTGTCTTTAAATATAGAAACCAGTTGTAAATCTGGTAGCCTGTCTGCAGCATATTGATGCTCTGGTGCATAACCATTATTACACTATGCACTGGCTTGATTCACCAGGAAATGATTTACCCTATACCACCACCAACTTCTGTAATTATGAACTTGCTCTTAGCTTAAGAAACTTAAAGTGACATTAAACCCTCAGATTTTTTTACATAAACCAATACTGTAATGTGTGCCTTACTGTAATCAATGGTTGTTTCCCTTCTCTTTGCTTCTCTTCCTTTTAAATCCTTATCTTCTCACGCTGGGCAGAACTTTTGTTTTGCAGCAGACAGCCTTGTCTCTGAAATGGATACATGGGGGGTGATTTACTAACCTAAACACACACACGCACCAGGTGTGTGTGCATTTTTACACAGCAAAACGTATTTATCAGCCAAACACGAGCAACGTGTCACATTTTCACGCCGTTATGGCGCGTTTTTTATGTATTTACGTACGTGCGCGTCATGTAGCATCCGCCATAGGCTACACGCCGCTCTAATAGCGGCATGCAAGTCTCTAAAAGCATATTTCCACTAATGCCATATATGGAAAAATCATGCACATGATGCATATATAATGCTGCTTCACAGTTTAGACAAAAATGGTTAGCTTATGCATTTACCTGCATTCATCAACGCAAGCAACACAACGTAGAGCTAATTTACACAACATCACCTTGCAATTCATGCAGGGCTTTGCACAACACACCTCTTGGGTGTGTACACACTACAAAGGTGTCTAGATTTCACCAATAGATCATGCTGGGAGGGAACACACTACAGAGGTGTATACTTGTTCGTGGCATGTTTATAAGGTTAGTAAATCAACCCCATGGTGTCTGTGTGTAGGTTCACAACCTGAGCCAGCACTACTGGAAGAGGCACTGAGCTGCAAAGGAAAGTTCTCCCCCAGCATGAGAAGATATAACAATGTAAAAGGAAGAGCAGCAAAGAGAAGGGAAACTACCTTTAGTATTACATTACCAATACATTACAGTATTGGTTTATGTTAACAAATCTGAGGGTTTAATGTCACTTTAAGCTCAGACTTTGCTGCAGCTGACAGTCAAGTGAAAAAAAAACTACAAGCATTGTCTAAGATAATATAAATCCACTGGGTTTTTTTGCATGTAGTTCTTCTTTGGTAAAATAAAAACTATTCTAACAATGAACTATATCTGTATGAAATCAAGTTCACTTTTATATGCCTGTATTATGCAATGTACTTTCATGAAGAAATTACACCTGGCAATGGTTTTCACAAAAGCTATCAATCAGCATTTCAATTTAAATCATTTTTAGCAATGTACAAACAATAGTGAGAGCAATATAATGTGGTTAGAAAACATAAAACTTTGCAATATGAATCTTTGAAGTTATTTTATTAGGTGATAATATATTTTGTACTTTTGCACTTCTGTCTAACAAGAAATGTAATCCCGATTCTTACACTTTCAGGTATTATAGTTTTGTTAGTCTGCTAACATTTATATATGCTCATTTTTCTTTCATCCATAAAATAGGCACCTACCATTGATATACGTCCACGATCGGCAACCATTCAAATGAATAATGCCACACATCTTCAAGAAAGGGATGAAGAATATGGATATGAGTGTCTTGATGGAAAAGATTGTGCCAGCTTCTTCTGCTGTTTTGAGGATTGCCGAACTGGTGCTTGGCGACATGGAAGGATACACATACGTGTTGCGAAAATTGACTCCTACTCCCGAATTTTCTTCCCAACTGCTTTCTGCTTGTTCAATTTGGTCTATTGGGTATCCTACCTTTACCTTTAAAAATAAACAAAGGAATCTCCCATGGAAACACGCACGCAACGCAGGCCTTATAAAACATACATCATTTCATTTATGGAGTAATTTGGTTGGTGTATTGCACCAATGCAAATTGTATCTGTTCATTTAATTCATGGAGTGCCATACTTTAGTATTACTCATAAAATCTGAAATGGTGGATTTTTTGACAACTGGTTAAATCTTAAACTCTGTATCCATGTTACAGGTACTGATAATGATTCACAATAAGGATGAGCAAAACAAAAGCTTGTATGGAAATGTGATGTGGTGCCACGCCATCAGATTAAAATTGCTGTGTAAATATTTCATTGCATTTCAATGATAAGATATATTAATGCCACTAATCTACTGAAATATAGCTGGAAACACTTTTTATAACAGTATAGACTTCTGACCAGTTGAAGAGCAAATGTAAAATGATGTAAATATTTTATTTACCCTTTAGTGCATAGGTCAATGCATGCATCCGCTGGGGCCAATATACAGCAAAGGAACTTTACCATACAGTGTCCTGTTTCCTAATCCTGTATAGCTATCTGTGAGATTTTAGGTAAAAGATAGTCTGAAATCATCTTAATTGCTCATCTATAGCTACCTTTGTTCTCATGCATGAAAATTGATTCACAGTGCACTTTCCTGGGTACCATTACATATGCCTTAAGGACATCATTGCAAAGCAATTTGCTTTTCTGTAACCCTACTCTTTCAGTATTTGAACCATCTGCCAAAGGGAAGAGCCAGGCCGCAGAAACATTTTATTACAATTATTGCTAAAGTATATTTTTATTTGAGTAACTTTAGGAAAATGGCTATTGGTGCATCACACTAAGAAGTCGATTGTTACAGAGAGAAGGTTTTATTTTCTAAGAAGTCTACTTCAGTAAATATTTAGCTTAAATATTGATTTATTTATACAAGTTTAGAAGTATGGAATTCTATACTAGCCAAAAGTAGCTTTAGTAGTTTCTAAGATTTATGTTGACATATAAAAGTGTTGTGCTACAACAGTCAGGATTGGATGCTGGAAGAAGATAGCCTACCTGTTTATAACTTTGTGATCTCCATTGTGAAAATGTCAGATTATGAATTGTCAACTGACGCTGCTGCTAGTATACATTCAAATGTGAATTAACAGCTTTTAAGGATTAGACTGCTTAAGCTAGACAACCTTTAGAAGCAGATATAATTTCAGATGAATACAGTTCTAGAAATACTTTTCATGCGCTAACCAGAAAATTCATTCATTATTCTGTTTTTAACAAAATCGATTTATGTATCTGCATATTCTGTGCCAGGTTGGATTATGTCCCCAAAGCTACAAAGAATCATAAAAGGGTGATGGCAGAAGAAGACCAAGTGATAAATCATGTCTGCCCCTTCCTACTTGATGCAAGCATTTGCACACATTTGTGGCACTAGAAATATAGTGCTGCTGCCATGCAAGTCAGAAGAAAAAGAGATTAAAAAGAGATGATGAGAAAAATCCATATTAATTTTTTCAATCACTCGCAAGCCAAATGGACAGATTACAGTCTTAAAATAACATGCAATCACTGTAACAGTCATCACTAAATCATAGAAAAGGATTATGAGCCAACATTTCTATCACTTGTAAAATGCCAGCGTAGAATCATCTGGTCTAGTTATTTTTTTTTCCATATAGCCTAGAAAGCAAAAAGTTTTACAAATCTTGATTTTGAAAAAAATGTATGTTATGTTTGCACAGTACAGGTGATCAGTTTAGTTCACATAACATAAAATTAAATAAAAATGACGGAAATCAAATGAAAGTATTAATTGTAAAAATCTGATTGTGGCTAAAACAACAGCAGCAGATAGCCAACTATTTGATTACTTTCAATAGGAATGATATGTTAAGGCAATATTAACCCAAGCACAAAGCAGACTATAGCATAGATTGTAACTCAATATTAATTTAAGATATGCTGTACTTTTTTTCTCTTTTTCTTTTTACTCACTTGCTCAGCAATGAGTTGATCAATAATTTTCTATTGATATACACCTTGGTGGGAGATTTTTTAAAAAATCTAACCCTATTGTATGCTGATGGTCTTGTGCATCTTGCCACATCTTTAGGCACTGAAAAAACAAATGTTTCCTTTATCTCAAGCAGATTGGTTTAATTGATACCATTTCAAATGTGGTGCATAGATTATAGAAGGAGAAATGAAAGTATGTATTGCAAATCACTAGAAGTAACATATAAATAATTACATTTTGAAAAACAAAAATATATTTACGAAACACGTATAGTGCCAATACCATAGCCATATCATTATAATATATAGAGGGATATTTAATTTGTCATAATAGGTATGGGCATCCACACATTAATCTGTATACAAAGTACTCAATACAACATACTGATAAAGAAGGTTTCACTTTAACTTAGTTCAGTTACAAACTTTTTTGCAACATTTCAGTTTATATAGATGTGTATGCATGATTCTTTTTTTTTTGTAACTTTGTCTGTTTGCAGGAATGCCTGCTAAAGAATAATCTGTGCCAAGCTTTGCACATATCAGTTATAATATACATCCATTTTTAGCACTAATTTACATGTATGTTTTTTTTAATCAAGGATTATTCATACTACTTCTATTTATAATAATTATCTACATGTAAGATTTTTGTATTATCTTTGAACACCCAAACTCTTACAGACTGACATTATTGCACCAAGCCTTGTTTCCAAACTGTCCTAGTCATTCCATTTTGCAAACCATATGGTCTGCAGTGTAATTTTGTAGTCATTGATGAACTTTTCATTCAGCCTTATACTGGTTTGGAACCTTCTGTGTATTAACAAAGGCTAATAATAGTTGTGTATTTTCAGAACAAAACTAGTTATTTAACACTGTGTAATCTGATTCAAAAGTGGACATGTCCTCATTTAACCATGGCAATCATGGAAAATGTAATTTTCCTTGTGTTATTCTTGCCAGACATTCACAATTCAAAATCCAGATCATTGTCGATCTCTTTACCTTGTTGGCGCATTACTGCATCTTCATTTGTTTTGTCAAAGCTCCATTTATCTAGTGGCTTTGGTACTGGCAGCCTGCCATCATGTGGCACTGGTCTCATGGATGAAGACAGACTGGGGTATTCAACTGATTTCTTATTTCTAGCAGAAAAAACAGAGATATTAGAAGAAAAAGTCTGTTAGATGATCCTTCTGTTCTCGTCATATTATCGGGACAGCAAATGTCAATGACTTCTGAGTTCCTCTGAGGCAAGCTCTCAGATGGACAGGACAGCTTGCACAACAAATGTGAGGAGTCCATGCCTTGCCCTGATGACCAAACTTACAACTAAAGTAGAGTTCATATGCTTTCTTAGCAAGTCTAGTCATGGTTTGTCTGAGACTTACTGTAAGTGTTTAGTCATCACAAATGTAGCAGAATGTGTCACAACTGTTTTGACATTGGCAAAACATTTCTGATGTCACCCACTGTACTAAAACAGTTACAACAGTTGTTATTTTGCAAGCTGCCTTTAGCCCTTACAGCAGCATACACTAAGCCTAAACATTCCTAGGCATGCTCAACCTGTGCAAAATCCACAAGCATTATACTACCAGCCCCCTGTACATGCCTGGACATGTATGAGCTACAAATAGCACCATATAACACAATAAAAAAATTAGTAAACTAAACTAAAAATGTGACAAGAAAATACAAAATAAAATATATAAAAGAAATGGTATATGATAGGTTAAATTCCACATTATTTTAATGATTAGCAGTCCAAAATGTATAAGATACACCCAGAAGTGTTCATGAAGCAACATCTTTGTTTTCCAGTGTTATCATTACTGTATATGTCTTAATTTCTTGATGAAAACCACTCCCCTTGTTTCTCATCCTGCTGCCACAGGCCTTCACATGGATAGGAGGGGAAGGTGAAATCTCTAACACAGTTATGGACAGCAGTAAAAACTTGACAGAAGTATTTATTTTTCCTTCCTGAAAAAAAGTTTTGGTTGGATTTGAATGGTTCAGTTGACCTATTTTTTTCTTTACATGGACAGGTAGAATGTTGGTTAGTTTAGAAGACCTGGCTATTTTGCTATTATATTCTAATCTTAAATGTTGGCTAATTATTAGGTACTATTAATAGTACCTAATTATTACTGCAGATGAATGCACTAAGGCTGTATACATTGATAGGTATTAATCATTCACGCCTTCTTGTCATATATGTATATCACCAGAATTTATCTTCCCATTCAAGCAAGGTGTACTATATATACTATATACTATATATAGATTATTATTTTCAAAGGCTCTGTGGTGCAATATAAAAGATAATGTTTTATTTTATATGAAATATTTCTTTTCAGCATGTGGCTCAGAACATGAAGGTGAAGTTTGATGGACTTTTATACATATGGACTCATTGCTTTGTGACCAGGATTGCTAAATGAAGTCTTGCAGGGATGCCTACTACTGTTATAAATATGTTAGATTATTCTATATTAATATTCCTTGGATCATCTAAAGCTTTGCTTGTCTTTTGCAGAGCGTAATGCTTGTGCAAGGCATAATGCCTTTAAAACTTGTACCAATACAACTTCTCTGATTTTTTTTGACAAAATAAATTGATCAAAAGATCAGAGAGCACTTGCAATGTAAAAACTTTTTTCATTCCCATACAAAATATTTTTGTCCTGATTCGAGTCCTTTGTAAATAAACATATTCAGTGTTCAAGAAAAAAATATAAGCATTGAGGTGGTTATGACTTTCATTTTTTATAAAGCAATGATCAAGAAAGCATTGTGTATCTGTAAATGTTTTGTCAGTGTGAGTTCTGTGTTAAATGTGATATTTAATGTTTTTCAGTGTAAAAAGAGCAATATTATAAAATGCTGCTTTTTGTTGGAAAGCAAATGTAAACAAATTAACAAATTTATTACATTATGTGACCCTATAGTAAATGTACACTATGTATAAATTAAGAATGAAATATGCATCATTTTGTTTGGCTTTAATAGTAGTCAATTAAGTAGGAACAATGTGTAAATGTCTGTCTGTCTTTCTTTCTACATTAGTGTTTTTTTTTAAATCATACTAATAGATCATATTTTTAGTAGCATCATTTTGAAAAAAACAAACAAAAATAATACAGTTAGGGATTTACGACTTATACCAACTATTGTTTACAAATACTGGCTTGTTTTTAAAGCATAAATAATGTTAAATGTGTAGTAGAGCAGACTCTGGTCTGAATAATTGTTATGGGTTATACTGCACATTGCACATCATCGTTACTCTTTGCACTACCTTAATAATAAATGAGCCAAATATTGTTTATATTAAAGAGAAGAAAAAAATACCATATACAATAGAGCTATTTGGAACATCCTGAAACATGTATATAGCATTTTCCACTTCTGTACCACAATTTAAATAATCAACATTTATTTACCTGCACTGCAAATTAGGATGTAACTTACTGCACATCAATTATTACTGATTAAGACAGACTGTAGTCTCCTTCAGATAGAATTCAAACATGGAATCCTCTGCATAAATGACAATACCTCCCATGAAGATAAAAGGACTGGGATTGATTTACTAAAGAATATGCCAATACAAGTCACCTTGACATTTCTGCAAACAGGGTGAACAACCAAAGTGTACTTTCACAGTGTTTACTACTCACATGGGGTGGTTATTGAGATGCACAGAACTAAGACAGGATAATACATTAAGAAATGTGATTTAGTAGGCAATACATACTGCGAGAACTGAATGTACACCAGCTAACTGGGGTGTGCCAAAAATCAGAA